GGGTGGCAGCTCTAGAAGCCCATCCAGTTTTAAGACATCTGAGGTTGTTAACTCCATGTGTGCCTCCAACACTTAAAAATTTCATGAAACACGTAAGAACCAGAGATTCTTCTAGGCTATGATGTTACTGCTGCACTCCAGTTTACTTCCAGGTGTGCTTGTTTCTCACTTAGGTTTTCCCAGACAGTTCTGAATTATAGCTGAATTGTACTATAGTTTCCAGTACTGTCTAACCCAGCTGTTTAATGATGGTGCTTTTTGCTTGCTCCTTGTTTTTGAGTTGTTTTTATTCATGTTGGCCATTTTATTACTGTACCACTGGGGCACGGTCATAATACATGTTAAGTTTGTAAGCTGCCTTGGGAGGGATTGTATCCTGGAAGATGGCCTAGAAAAAAATTTAAATAAATTTATGTGGGAAACTAAGATAGCTAAACAAAACCTGGAGCAGTAGTCAGTTACTGTATCTGCCTGACTGAGAGTGTCTGAATGCTGGACTTTTTCACAAGTAATATGTAAACTAGCCCTTAGTAAATGAACTTGTAATAATCTTGTTTGTATAGGGATAGCCTGCAGTGGAGGTCAGCGGTTAGACTTCAGGCTTGTGAGATGTGAGATCTACCTTGCTTTTTATTAGCATTCCAAGAGTCTTGTGCAAGAAACATCAACTTAGAATTAAAGAATTTTGAGCCCAGGAAACTATGGAACTCACAGACCTTCAGCATGGAAATTCACCCCTGATCATCTAGACTATCTTCATTCCAGAAGTCTAATTTAGGGCAGGAGGGGGAGTATTTTATTGTTGCTTTGGTAAATAATTAGGAGTCAGAAATCTTTGTAGAAATCATCAGAAATGTACCAATACATCCAGATCCATTTTCTATCTAACTCTAGCCAGTCTCTTGGGCACAATGCCTTTATCGTGTACTAGATGACAACTCTTGGTACAAATCCAAGTACTCCAAATTAAGGATCATGCTACTGCTCTTTTTTCTAGAAGAAGCAACAAGAATGTCAACCATGCCAACCCTTTTAATGTGTTTTGGAAATCTTTGGTAAGTGGGATGATTTTAAGTGCAAAGTAAAAATTACCAGCAAAATAATATCACAAGAGGAATGAAGAACAGTTTATTTGTTTAGAAATGGAACTATGTTTTTGCACAGCAAACTGAAAATATGCTTATGAAGCAGAAATTATATTTACATGGTTAGGATCATTAAAACACATTGTAAAAAGGGAAAATAAATAGATTCAAATGCTGGCTCAATTAGATGGAAATGCAGTGGTACTCTGGAAGCTCAAACAGCATCCTCTACATAGTAATTTTGCTTTAATGATACTTAATACATTAGAACATACGTCTCCAACTAAGCAAACTAACTGTGCAGAACAGTCATTCAATGTAAAGAGATGGTGCTTTGAAAAGAACCTGAACTATAACACAGTACCTCCCAAATACTAGAAAGTGGGCATTCTGTAAGGTGGGTGCCACCACATACAGGACACGGCACCTGCAGCTGACAGTACATCCAGCAATGTCTCCTGAAATGAGCCTAGCGATCATGCAAATCTATTATTTGTATAGTCTAGGAATGAGAATTATAGACTCGTCTTCCTGCAGTCAGGAAGCCCTTTCCCCCAACATAAAGATTAATCTCTTCTTTGAAAACGATACCATGTAATAACAGCATGCATCTTTGTCACTCTGTATATGTATTGGGTGGTATTTTAAGTGATGCATGATATTAGGATGTTGGCCAAATTTCACTCCTGCATTATTATCAAGGCCAGAAGTTTTGGCATGCAGTGTAAAAAAAAGTCTTGCCTCATTGACCTTTTAAAAGCTAGTGGCATTCCTGTTCATATTTATTCAGAAGTAAGTCTCATTGTGTTTGAACAGCTAACTTCCTCATAATTGCACTTAGGAGTGTAGCCTGAATGTGTCAACAAGCATGCAGGCTGGAAATAGACAACAGGTGGTTTTGACAACACGACAAGCCACTCTGCCCCAAACGTGCCTGATTGTCAGTTCGTAGGGTGCTTCCTGCCTCTCCCAAGGGTCCTCCCATGGACATCTCTTGTGGAAGGAAGGAGTTGTCTCTGGTTGGCCAGCTCAATCTGTTAGCCTGGGGTCCTCAAACTTTTTCACCAGGGGGCCAGTTGAAAGGTTCCGGTGCTGGGCGTGGGCCGGAAAGGTGGTGCTGGCATTGCGCGCGGGCCTTCATGGGGACGGGGGTGGCGAGGCGTGGTGGGCACACATGCAGCAAGGGGAGGCAAGGTGCAGGCGGGCATGGGCACGTGCCGTGAGGCGGGTGCACGAAGCAGTGGCTTGCTCGCTTGGAGATCATTTTCTCCAAGTGAGCAAACCGCTGCCTCCCTGCTTACGGGGCGAGGTGGGCGGCGGCAGGCATGGGCATAGGGGTGCGCGTGGCGGTTTTGAATGGGCATGGCGGGCTGGATAAATGGGCATGGCGGGCCGGATCCAGCCCCCGGGCCGTAGTTTGAGGACCCATGTGTTAGCCTGACCTGTTGTTGAACTTCCTTCCAGAAGGGGTGTCAGTACTGCCTGGTGCTGCGTGCCACACAGATTCCAGAGCCTCTCTGGAAGGGAAGACCTTGGAGTGGCAGGAATGCTCTGAGGATGTATGAGAGTTTGCACATGAGCAGAAGTGATTCTGAAGCTGCCATACTGTGAAGAGGTTTGTGTAACCTTCCGGTAAAGTCTTAGGGCAGTCTCCTGGCATAATCCAGTTACTTGCTACCTTCTCTGAAACTTCACCAGCCATGTATGCTTACCACATAGAGAAGTAATCGCTTAATATTCAGGCCTTAGCAATTTGCTTTCACCTTGACCTATCACACAACCTACACCAGCCAACAGACATTCTCACTGCCTGACCACAAACTCTTTACCTGACTCAGCTGTCAAATGTCAGCCTTGTCAACTGTCATTTCCTCACTGCTGCTTTCCACCTACTAGAAACCCCTCGCCAATCAGAGCCTGATAATTTCCAGACCAATCAAAATTGAATTTATAAATATCTATGAGCTCCATCTATAAATATTGAAAGTTGTCTTCCACTTTCAGAGTATGTCACCAAGCATTATTCCTTTACAGGCCTTTAACAGTAACAAAGCTAGGCCTCATATAGCAGCCCCGCGGTGGCCACACAAAGTAAAATGTTATAGAACACCAATAGGTACATGCATGGCTTTTCTTCTTAAGCCCTCTGTCTGGAAGCACCCAGAGATCCCTGATTCCAAGAAGCTTACACATTGAATATTGACAGTGTGGAAGATAACATGGAGAAGGGAAAACCCCCATAACAATAGTGAATAATGCAGTTATAGATATGTAAGTGTTATTCCAAATCCATAATTAGGACACCTTTATTAGGATAACCAACTGTCACAAGGTAGTGACATTTCTGGTGCATGGTTTCTTAGTTCTCCAAAATTCTGCATTAGGCTGGATGTTAAGCAATGGGAAGGGGCTTGGGAGAGAAAAAACATGGCTTGATGGGGGGAGTCAGAAAGGACGGGATTGTAGTATCTAGCCAGATTAAATGGCCCATCCTATGCACGTTCAGAGAGAAGCAGCCCTACAACTTTAAGCTTTCCTCAGAGAGCCAAGGACTCTTTTCTGTCTAAGCATGCATGGGATTGTGTCTTAAATCTCCTAGATGCCATGCAGGTTTCAGTTTGCACCTCTGACTACTGGGGCAAAGAAGGTAATAACAACAGATCCTCTGTTTTTGAAAATATAAAATCCAGTAGTTAACCAAATCTGTCTTCAGCCTTAAACAAACCACACAAGTTTCTTGTTAGCCAGACAACTAGAGTAAAAAAGAAACATGGAAGTTTTTATATTAGCAAAGCTGGAGATAATTGTTTTATGTGGGTCTTGCAGAAGTTATGTATGGAAATGGGCTGTCAGGCATGGTAGGATAAGCCTGATCTTCTCATTGAGCAGCAAGTAGTTTAAAAACAGGAAGCAAGGGTAGGAATAAATGGACAGTTTTCACAATGGAGGGAAGTAAGCAGTGGAGTCCCTGAGGGATCTCCACTGGGAATTCTCTAAGGCTCATGAAAAGCAAAAGCATTGCCCGGCTAAGGGGGAGGAAGGATTAAAAATGGCTTAAGAAAGTTAGATAAACCCAGGGAGGATAACCCTATGAAATGCTATTACCTGTAGTAAATGATTATTTTTTAAAATATGATCTTATTGATGTTTTGATATTATCCACTATCAGAGCACTACTGGGTTTTATTTTGTATACTGCCCTGAAAGGATTGCAGCAGTGAAGGTGGTCTAAAATAATTTAAATAAAGAACATAATTTTAAAAGTGCAACCTGTCCTTGCTATTTAGAGGCAGTATTATTGCAGGTCCCGCTGGAGGATAAATGACCAGGGACCCTTCGTAATGGCTTTCCCAGGGCACCCTGTCGGTCCCAGCTGAGGACACAACGCGCAGCCACGCCGCATCGCTTCGTTCTTGTCCAGCAGTTCTGCGCGTGGTGGCCGGTGAGCGCTTCTCGATACTGTTGCTTTGTCTCAGCAAAAGGAACACGTGAGCAAATAGGGAAGTTCGCGCTGACTTGCCATCCTGGGCCACAGGACTAACTGAAAATCCCTATCTACGTCTACTTTTTATGGGCAGGCCCGATGTGGAAAGGGACCCTAGTGGCGGTGCGAGCGCGGCTTCTGAGAGCTGGATCGGCTTCCTTGCTTACTCTAGGGTAAAAATTTAAATCTGGACTACTTTGGCCGCAGAGCTTGGAGAAAGGAGGGACGACAGAGCGCGGGGGCTGTTTCCCTCTTGCTAGCCCACAAGCGGCTCCGAGCCCGCCTTGCGCCGGCGAGCGGAAATCACGAACCCCACTAGACTACCCAGTCACGCTGGTGACAGCCCCAAGCGCCGCTCACCCACCATTGGCTAACTCCGCGGGAATGCGTCACGGGCGGGGCGGGACTTCATCAGCTGTTTGGGTAATGCCAGGAAGCAAGTGTATTTTGGAAACAATGCCGTGTGGGGCTAGCGGCGGCGGCGGCGCCTGAGGTTGCAGCCTGGGGACTTTCCGGCTCCCGCTCTTTCCGCTGGCCGCTCTTGTTGGCGCTGCAGCTGATCAGAGGAGAGGAGGGGTTGCGGATCCCCGCCTCGCAAGGCGCACTCTCCAGCTCCTGTCCCTGGTCTCTGGCGGGCGGTTGCTGGCCGCAAAAGCCTCGGCAGCAGCCTGAGTCGCAGTTGGGGCAGCAGGTCGGTAATGTCCGGGGGGAGGCGGTTGGCGAAGCCCCGTCTTTCTTATCGAGCTTTGATCTGTGACAGGCGCTGCCCACGAGGAGAGCGACCAGCTCTTAATAGAATCGCGCTCGTAGGACACTTTGAGTCCAATCTTCATTTTAACTTTTAACAGGACGCTGTGCTTCCTTGTTATCTGGTTGTTGCTCGTCTCAAAACTTCAGAATAAGGTGGACTGTACGTTTAAATAAGTGAACGAATTAATTCCCTGCGTGGTTGTGCTAAAGTATGCACAGCAGGGCTTCCTCCACTTGATGCTTGCAGCCCTGGGATCCCCAGGCACTGTGCGCTGTTAACAGTACTGGACATCCCTTCTTCCCATCTGCACCCCCAAATCTTTGCTGTTACATTTGCTGCCCTAGCAGGGTCCTTCTGTTTTTCATCTTAGGTTTAGAATTGCATCATCTGGCTTTAAGAAAAATATTCGTTGGCAAATGTTCTTCTGCATAGCTTTTTCTTTACCTATACCAGAAAATTGGGATCTCACCCAATTTTCTTCTAGCCACACTCCCTTGCACACCTTTCACCTAATTTTCCTGGAAATAATGTTTGTATTAGAAACTTACTGAGCTGAATGAACAGTCCAGGCGGTAAAAGTCATTCAGCTAGCATCTCTGTAGCTGAGTTTCAGATGAAGGTTGCCACCTTTTATTCTTGAAAGACCTCTGTGCCTCTAACCACTGCTTTGATAGAGGAAAACATTGTCTGTTGAATATCTGTTATGTATCCATTTTAGTTGCCACATTTGAAGGGGGACAGTTTGTTTAAATTAAGCAACCTTCTAGTACCACAGCAATTGGCAGTTGTCTAAATGGTTTGTTACTAGGGTCCTTCAATGTGGCTTTCTGGCATGCTGCAAACAATATTTTCAGCACAAGATTGTTTAGAGAAATACGTTAATCTTTTGAAAGACTTAAGTAATCAAAAGACCTTATTGTTTGTGAAAAAGAAATTTGCAAAAAGGAGTGAATTTAACCTACTGATCAGAAAGGAGTAATTTATTTTTGGTGGTTTGGCTGCTGACATGCTGTGGGAGAAGCACTGAAATGAAGGATCAAATTGCTTTATATATCATATCTATATATGTTATGTGAAGTGCTGCATTTGTAAAATTATCCTGATTGCTTTGGGATGCCCATCTCATTTTTGTGACTGTAAGGATTTGTTTTGGTCTCATCCTGTACCACAATAATGCGCTGAAGTTGCAGAGGCACCTCTGCCTTCATAGCAGACAGAGAAGGGAAGTGTTAAGAAATCGTGAAGTCCCGAGTGTAGTCCAGCTTGCTGCTTTGTTTTGGTTAACTGGCATGCACATGTGTCATACCCCTCCCTCTGTTCTTCCTTACTGCTCCGTTCCTGAGAGTGGGCAAGTGGTTGCAATATACATTGAGTTTTTGTGAGTGAACATTGGTGGGAAATGGAAGAATGAAGACATTGTGTGGCTCCCAACAGGTGTTTCAGGTTAGGAGAACTGCAGGACTCTTTAAACTTCTTTGTGATTTTGTTTTATTTATTTGCAGGTGTTTGCTGAACTTGCTGTTCTCCTTTCAAATGATCTGATTATTATTTATTATGCATTTCAGGAAATTTAGCATACATGGCACTCTGTGCAATCCATGCTGAGATTTGCTGAATATTATCCATAGTATAAAAGCATCATGTTTTTCCATATGATTTCTAGGCCATGATTATGTTGTATATTTATGTTGACTGTAAGGATTTCCTCCCTCATTCCTCTTCAAAAAAAATGAAACATCTTCAGAAATTCTCTCTTGTCTTACTTCCAAGAATCTCAGAGTGGCACATTATACTCACAACTCTGTGAGGTAAGTAGCCTGAAAGAATAAAACAAGTTTCTCAGGCTTTTTTAACTGAGCAGGGACTTGAACCTAACTTTTCCAGTAATCATATGCTCCAGCCAGTGGACAAAACTGCACATTCCCATGGGCTGTTACCCGGGAGGGAACCCCGTTGGACATACCGGGATTTACTTCTGAATAACCGCACACAGAATAGCAGTGAATGTTTTGGCTCTGAGATGCGCTGCACAGAGCAACTTGCTGAATGTGTTTCTGGAGACCTCTACAAATAAGTTCTAGACAGCCACTGAATGACAACACATCAGCAGTCCAGGCAATGATTACAGTGGTAGTTGCTACTTGTAGACACTTGTGAAGATTTGGAAGCCACCCTGCTGTGTTACTATCTTTCAGTCATGAAGTGGGGTTGTGGTACTCAACCTGCTATCCTCCAGATGTTTTAGACAACAGCTCTCATAATCCCTCACTATTGGCTCTGCTGGTTGGAATTTATGGAAGTTGTCCAACACCTCTGGAGGGTACCAAACTCTTCACCCTTGCACTAGGGTCCTAAATACAGGGGAATGCTGGGCAGGGTATTCTTCAGTGTTATTTCAGATCATTGCTTGTTCTGTCCCTTTCATCTTTCACCACCATCCTTCCAGCTGCAACTAAGGCCTGGTCCATAGATCTGACACTCTGTGGTGATAGACTTCTCAGGTATCAGAGTGAACTCTTTGTTTCAGGCAGTGTGTCACTTTTTATTGCTCCCCCATCACACCAAAAAAGAATACCAGGAGCTGGAAATGGGAATGGGCCAGACCTCCCTCCTCCTCCCTCTCTCTGCAAGCAGAAACTAGTACACTGTTGGGCTATGGAACAAACCAGAATCAAAAGTCAGCTTACAGTTGAAGGACAAACTGGACATGTTCAGGCTCAAGAAGAGAAGACTGAAGTATGATATGATAGCACTCTACAAGTTCTTGAAAGGCTGTCACAAAGAGGAAGGACAAGATCTCTTCTTGAACATCCCAGAGTGCAGGACATGGAATAATGGACTTAAGTTACAGGAGACCAGATTCTGGCTAGATACCAGGAAAAGTATCCTCACTGTCAGAGAAGTATAAATATGGAACCAATGACCAAGGGAGGTTGCGGACTCTCCTACAATAGAGGTATTCAAGATGTAATGGACATCTAAAGGGGATGGAATAACTTGGTATCCTATACTAACAGTGGTTTGGACCTGATGGCCTTTCTTGGCCCTTTCCAGCTCTACTATTCTATGATTCTATGAAAAACCAGGAAGCTTTTTTGAGACGACTGAGAAGCAAGCCACAAGTTAGGAGCAAAGTTAACAAAGGATCCAGGAACAGACCAGAGCTCAGAAAGACTGTAGCATTGTTCAAACATTTGCCTGAAAGCATGGGGGCTTGCCCACTGTATCTCCAGCACCTTGGCCTTGCCCCCTCAGTTCGAACCTTGCCAAGCAGAATTGGCAAAGACTTAGAGGGAGCTGGTTCAGTATTGGTAGGAATGTTAGTAGAATGTTCTGTGATCAAGGACTTCCTTCACCGGATTCTTGATTATGTGTTGTCTCATTCTGCTGAATGTAGAAACTGAGCCTGAGAAGGGCAGTAATAATAGGCACTTGAAAGATAAAATCCACTGTAGCATGGTGCTTACATTGTTGGACCTGGAAGATCTAGGTTCTAATCCTCATTAACTAGGAAGCTCACTGGGTGACTCTGGGCCAGTCACTCATTCTCAGCCTAGCTTACTTCACAGGGCTGTTTTTGTGAGGATAAAATAGAGCTATGTAAGCCACCTTGGATTCCTTAGAATAGGGGAAAAACAGGATATACATGCAAGAGAATCATAAGAACAACATGTGCTGATAATTCAGTTGTTGGGACACAGCAGTACTGCCTTTCCACGACTTATGTATTTAGGCATTGTCTATAAAGCCAACCATCAGCCCTGAATTCTATGTGTGCTGCAGGAGTGAAGACACCAAGTCCTTCCTCCCCATATGCACTCCCATTCTTCTCAAGCTTCTTCCTTCCATTGCTTTGTTGGAGACCTGCCCTTCCCCTTTGTCCCCAACTGACTTTTCACTTGCAGCTGAGTGAAGCCATGTGACCAACACACAAGAGGAAATGCCAAGCTCTTAGAGATACTACATGCTCTTAGGTGCATGTAGATGTGTTCTTCCAATATGACTGAGAGCAAAGGATAGGCTGCTCCTCCAGGCCTGGGTCAACAAGATATCAAGAGGAATTTCAAGCAATGGGAGATAGATTTACTCCTATTCCACTGCATTCATTATCTGCAGTCTTTGTCTCCTCCCTTCCAATTCTATAGCAATGAAGTGTGTGTGTTTTGGAATGACATGTCTTACTGTGCACACATGCTTGGAAGTAAGCACCACTAATTTGGTTGACAATATGACTTTGAAGTAGTTGTGCTTAAAGTAAAGCTATTGCAGCTTTTTCTATGCATCTTAACTCCGAGTCTGAAGTAAACCACACTGAGTTCAATAGAACTCTTCTCTTAGTAAAATATGCATCAGAATGTGTTTCTAAAAGCAGAAGTGGGAAATCTTTGGCCCTCCAGATTGTCTTGGACTTCATCTCCCATCAGCCTCAGGCAGCAGGGTCAGTGGCAATGAGGATTAAACTCTAACAACATCTGAAGGACCACAAGTTTCTCATCAAAGCATAGTCCTGAGCTTTGGGCTTTCTCTTTTCCTTTCACCACTCATTGAAACCAGGGCTTCTGTTGTCTGCATCTTATGTTTGGGTTCTATGTTTACCTTAAATTGCTTGCAAAGAAAAACCCAGAACAGCATTATACCTGCTACTAGCCTGAATTTAAAGTTTTTATAGCTGGAATAACTATAAACAGAGGTATTTTACATATGAGCAGTAGGCAATTGAGCTGAAATTGATACCAAATCAGTTGATTTAGTGAGGGTGCATCACAACAGTAGTGACTTGTTGCTTCAAATCTCAGACAGACAATTGATAGTACAGCCAAAGCAATGCATGCTTAATCAGAAGCAAGTCCTGATTTCTTTGAGACTTAATTTGAAGTAAATGTGCAGTCCATCAAGGCTTTGGATAAGTTACTGAAGAGTATCTTGCACAAACCACAGCAAAACAAATGACCCAAAGAATGAATTTCATTTCCTTGTTTGGGGTCTGGGGACATATCTCAAGAGACAATAATGAGATACTAATTGCTGATCTTCAGGAGCTCTAAATACAGCATATTGCCTCTTCTTGTAATCTATACAGTGTAACAGCTGTGGTTTTACGTATTCAAGCATTTTATGGACTTGCTAAAGGGAAAAGGTCTCTTCCCTCTCAGCTTTACATTGGAATACTCTGTTATAGGAAGAGTATTGGCATAAGGCAGAGTGCTCAAATGTAACGAAGGAGGAACAGGGACTAAGAAATGGAAGATAGTCACAACATTCATTCATTCATTTGAAATATATCTCACTTTTTCCAATGAACTCAAAGCTGCTTACATTATTTTCCTCCTCACAACAACCCTGTGAGGTAGGGTTGGGCTGAGAGTCTGTGACTAGCCCAGAATCATCTAGCTGGCTGAGTGGGGACTAGAACCTAGATTGCCTGAGTCCCACTCCTGCACTCTTAACCACTACACCACACTGGCTCTCCATGTTTTCCGTAATCACACTGGTTATCCACTGCAACCTGTGTTTCCTCTTCCCTCCCTTACCTGTGTGAGCTACTCTGACCTGACCATCTCCATAGTGGTTCCTGTCTTAGTGGGGCTTTAGGAGGCAGTGGTATACTCAGGAGAGAACCAAAACTCCTAATGCAAAGTGCCCTTTCCCTCCCATTGCCAGAATTCCCCCTTCTTCCTCTAACTAGCACTCTGTCATCTGATATGCGGTCTCCCTGTATTGGGGGTTATGTACCCATGTCGGTGTGTTGTGATGCCGGGTACAGTTATACCAAGCTTCCTCAGCCTGGTGCTCTTCAGATGTTTCGGACTTCAACTCCTGCCAGCCCCAACCAGCATTCCCAATGATCAAGAATGCTGACAACTGTAGTCCAAATCATCAGGAGGGCACTAAGTTGGGTAGGCTGAACTGTACCATATATTGTGCTCTGTTGCGGCGATGTGGGTGGTCAATGTGCAGACTATTTTTATTTTCTCCATTAACATCAATAGGAGGGAAATTCCTGCCCAAAGTGTGGGACTGGTGCAAAGTTGCATTATTGATAGGGGCATGTCACGGACTAAAGAAATAGAGCAAGCAAGCTTGCGTTTCCTCAGTGATGCCCATGACTTACAGCACTTGTAGCATTTCAGCCGTTCCATTGGCATAGCTTCTGCCAATACAAGAGGTCTTCTAGCAGATGCCAGTGGCTCTTCAGTACAGGGCTACATCCTAAGTGTGCTTATTATTATGGAATTGCTTTTAGCTGACTAAAACTTGTGCACAGATGCCTATTTTTTCACAAATGTTATCATGTTTTATTTGGCAGGATGGCAAATTTATTAATAAATTTTAAAATCTTGTCTTCAATGTTTTTTTAATAATCTCCATGCATTGCTGGGTGAAGTTATCCAGATATTTGGAGCATTATACTGTCAATACACTGAAGACACTCTGTTCTATTTTTCTCTCTTTCTGCATAGGTGTGAGGGTGACCTAAGTAAGAATGAGAAAGAATAAACAGATGTTTGATCCAGGGTATGATGAAGATGCTGATGACAGGTGATTCTGTTGCTGGGGGGCACACTCCCTTGAGCAGAGTGCTTTTGGAGCCAGTCTTGCCTTCAGATGCTCAGGTGGCAGCTGTGAAGAGCTGTACATTTTATCAGTCTTGATCAATGAACATGCTAGGCTGAGGCCCTGCCAACTGTCACTCTCAGCTTGACCACTATAATGCACCTTCGATGGCCTGCCTTGAAGACAGTCTAGAAAGCCCAGCTGGTTCAGAATGTAACAAGTTTACTATTTTATCAGGTGCTAGCAGCCAAAAGCATACAGCAACTGATATTTTGTGACTTCTCATTTTGTTTCTGGGTTAAATCCAAGATGTTGATTTTGACCTCCAAAGACTGGGATACCGTAGGGAGGCTCTTTTCCCATTCAACTCACTTTTTCCTCCCCTGCGAATTATGATCATAGCGAGAGATGCCGCTCTAGATTTCAGCATTGTCTCAAGTGAGATGGTCTTGCTAGATATTTCTTATGTGCAACACCTGGTTTTATGAAACTCTTTCTAGATGGGTTTTACTTTGGCTTTTCAGCATCTGGTCAACTCACATTGGTTTCAGTTGTGTTTCTTTGTTAACTTCAATTTGGTTCTACTTTAAAAAAAAATTAACAGCTGATTTTTAAAAAGTTTTAAATTGTAATGGTATTTTTATGTTTTCTGATGGTTTTTCTATTTCTCTTGTATACTGCTTTGAGCGTCTGTTAGGTGGAAAAGTAGTATATAAATATAAATAAATGTGGGTGCCGTCACCAGAAAGCTCTGCTCTGAACTTCAACAGACTGAACAACGCAAAAAGAAAAGAAGAGGAATCTGAAGATTGCAAGAAATGGAGATGGTTTGTGACAGGCAGCAACCCCTTAGGTATGCAGCCCTCCCGCCCTGCCAAACCATTAAATATTTTAAATATGTTGAACGACATCTTGTATTAAACTGGGAACTTGGAAGCTATTCGTTCAGGTATTGCAACAATGAAAATAATTGTTCTCCACAATCTACTTGACCTAGATGTGAGTTGTGCACCTGCTATAGTTTCCAGACTAACTTCAAGGATACACTGAACACTTTGTGATGAATCTCTAGATAGGAGGCTACCTGTCCATAGATGATAATATCAAAGTCTAACAACAGAAATGACCATGCTGTCCTGGAATAGTTAGTGTGGCTTTTTAAAGATTCTCTGAGAATATGAGTACATTGTACTTCTGTCACAAAAGGCCACTTCACTTCAACAGGCAGTTTACCAATATATTTTAAATAAAGTAGTGCACACCTGCTTTATTTAAATGTAGCCCACAGACAAATGGCACAACCAAACAGCTAAATATACTAGAAATAAATGATACTGGTTTAGTAGCACACTTACACAATACTATATGTAAACAGATAATGAGGGGCACCTTCCCACAGTTTCTAGCTGCTGATACTTTTAAATATTGCATTGGGTTATCTATGTTACTCAGCTGATCATTGGAGCCGATGAATTAAATTAAGGTGGAATCTCAAGAGGGGCCAGGAAACCAGAAAAACATGGAAGGGGAGGAGTCCTGATCAGGAGCAATAGATTTCCCCTTCCCACATATTACCTTTCTTTCCTGTTGGCTTTACAGGATCAGATAATTAGTCACAGGAAAGTTGTCTAAACATCAGCTCCCTCCACCCCCACCCACAACTGCTTAATTTCTTCCTAGTTATATTTTATCTTAGGGATTCAGATAAAGTTCAGGGAACATGTTTCAGGTGGATTGTTGTGCATTTGTGGGATAAGCTAACATAGAAGTTGTACAAAGAGGTATAAACTGCTTTAGTTATGTGGGCAAGTGAATTATACAATTAGGATTGGCCCTTTTGTGCCTGCAGCCCTCAGTTGCAAAACAGTGATCCCTCAAGGCCAGTTATGACTTCCAAGTAATGTCCCTTTTGGCTCTGAGTTGTGCAGGCTCAGAACTAGTCATGGATAATGACAGAAGAGAGTCAAGGAGTTGTGATGAAGAGCCTGCTGATGCTTGGATTAGGATGGAGATGGTCACATGAGGAAAAGGAAGTAGCAGTTCACAAGATGCAGTTCAGCCTATAGAAACAGCTTGAACTCCAGGCCTCCCAAGAGAAAGTGATAGTGTCTCAGGCAGTAGATCTGGATGCCGTTCATTTGCATTTCATCAACAGGGGAAACATTTGGATTTCTTGGCTCAGAAACATTTGGATTTCATTAGCCAGCTTGCTTTAACTTCTAGAGTTCCAGCAGAGTGCTACTTATGTCATCCAGCATTTTATGGTTCCTGAAAGGCATGATTAGACACCGGTACTGGGTACTCCAGCTTAGGTCTAATGTCTAGTAGGCTTTACTGGTAGCATCAAACACTTTTGTGACTATGGAAACGTGGTTTTCCACATGTTGACTTCAGCTCCTATCAGCCCCAGCCAACATGGCTAATGTGGTCAAGGACAATGGGAGTTGTTGCCTGGTGAGATCTAAAGAGACACAAATTTCCAGCTGTGGTTTGTACAGAACATCAGCTCCTAAGTACTGAGAATGGAAAGTCCTTGTGACTGAAGTATTAACTATGGTTGCAGTGAGCTACTGTGAAGTTTAGATTATAAAATATTATTTCTCTAAGCTTTTAGTGCTTTTCTGGCTTTGTTCTTATGACTAACAAGATCTTAGTAGTTTGAACCTTTTAATGTTACATTTTGTTTCACCACTTTCTTTACAATTCCCTATTAAAGAGGTGGAGAGCTTCATCAACTGGCCTTTATCATTGACTTATTACCTGTTTTCCCCTGCAAACCTGATTCACAAGCTGGTCTGTGAGGAAGTTGCAAAGAAAACCAGGTTTCCTATCCATTATATCCTTGGCTTTGCAATTCAGTAGTGGTGTTATCTATATTCACAATGTGTATTTTTGTTTTGTTTTAATTGTAGGTGAAATGGAGCCTTCTAGCTACCTGGAGGATGACTTCTCCAACCTGGATGGACTTGATGATGATGTGTTCCACTCTGAGGACTGTGGACTTGCTGGTCAGCCCAGTGAGATGACTTTTCCTGGCATCTTCACACAGAGCAAGCCTTACAACTGCCTGCTGGGGAGATTCCAGCTCTTCCCACTTACACACTGTTGTGGCCCAGGCACCAGGCCAGCCAAGCAGCAAGACAAGGCAACTCAAACACTCAGTCCATCCTCTTCCAGCCAGGATGTCATGTTGCCTTGTGGGGTCACTGAAGAACCTCAGAGACTCTTCTATGGTAAGGATGCTTGGATGTGACTTTTTAAATTTTTCTTTTGCTCTGGAGCAGCTCTCTCTTTTTCATTAGTTAGTAACATCAGTCAGCTATGTTGGCTGGAGAATGCTGGGAATCATATTTGCAACATATATGAAGGGTACCAGATTGGGGAAGGCTGCACTGTGACATTCCTGAACTGATATCTCCTCTTGAGGAAAGATAATTCTCTCTACTAATATCTCTGTCCTCCTCGCCTTGTATGGTACAGTGGCCTGTACTAGGAGGATCTTGATTTTTTTTGGTCAGTATTGTACCATGAAGCATGAAATAGGGTTTGCCAAATCTGAAACAGACACATCTTAAGAACCTAAAAACTTCACAGTTTTGCAGTTTTAAATGAGCAAGCTTCTTCATGGACCTCTGAAATGTGCAATCATGTCTTCTCAAGGCTCATGCTATTACAGTATTAAAATCTCATTTAAATGTGTATTGGTCTTCTTTTCAACCAAATTAGATTTGTTTAGGGAGTGTCAGGAGCTCAAAGGCAGGCCACATGCCTTGCATGCAGGAGGTCCCTGGTTCAGTCCCTTACATTTTCCAATAAGACTAGAAAAAGTCCTGCCTGAAAACCTGGAGAGCCATTGCTGCTAGTGAGTGACAATTACACTACGTGTTCAACATACTAGTTCTTAAACTCTGAGCAAATGTTGCTGGGGTTGTTTTGGACCCTAACAAGCTGCCTTAGGCAGGGCTTAATCTGCCTATGCAAGACCTCTGTTTGACAGAGTGTTTCCCTGAAAAGTTTAGAATCAGCATAAGAAGGGAATTCCTACTTAATTTTTCCTGCATGTCTGCATAATGATGTTTTGGTCTATTAAACTCCATTAACTATAACAAAGACTCAATCTATGAAAAACACATGAGCGTACAATGCTTTCCCTCAGTGGATTTCATTTCATTTCAATTTTTGAAGGAGGTGTTTGCTTCTGTTCCTGGCAATTGAAAGAGACTAAGATGACGTATAATTAATTTCTTTTGCATTTCTAAATGTTGGGGCTCCAAAAATACCCCACAGGCCTATTATTATGCAAATTTGGAGGTATAAAATTACCAAGGTATGGTTTATTTAGAAAGAAAGATTTATAGAAAGAAAAGTGTAAAAGGCAGGTGGATGAATTGAGTGGGCATTGTTTACTACCCAGCAGGTGACTAGATTGTAAGCCTACTTATGTTTATACTATGCAACAAAATGTGAGCCTGGGGTAATAAAGCCACCCCAAGATGCAGGATCAGGGAACTAATAAATAAATGACATGTTGCACAATACATTCTTATCAAATAACTGGGGTAATTCAAGCCTCATGACTCTGCTTTTGCCTAGTACTGTTTCTAATTTGTTTACAGAAAATCATGCAGGACTTACAGTGAAAGTCCTTTATGTGTAGAAAGAGATCACTGAATATTTTTATCTGTGTTCTGAATAGCTGTTGCTGTAGCAAGGTCTAATTCAAATAACATTTCTCAGAAAGTGCAATGAACTAACCGTTCTTAGATACGAATAGCAAAGTCTTAAATAAAAGGGTAAAGTCTTTCTCTTTCTGGTGGAGGAAAAGATCAGAAAGGGAAAGACTTTAGAAATCATCTTTAGAAATCAGCTTTCTAAAGATGATTAGAAATGAACTACAACTGCTATGCTTAATTCTGATGAGACATTTTCTTTTCAATGGTAAAAGTTGATATAAATTAAAATAATCCAGGATATCTTGAAAATGAAATTTTGCCACAGAGTTAAACAGTGTTGTTTTGTGGTGTATTGTTTATAGCAGAAAGACTGTATACTTCATGCTGAGAGGTTGTAAGCCCCTGATTCTTCTCTGATGTTTGACAGGGAATGCTGGGTACCGTTTACATGTCAACCCAATTGGTTTCTCATTGAATCCACACCTCCAGGAGGAAACTCGGGAAAGTCCACAGGAACTGCGTACTGAAGTTCAGATTGCACGGAAATTACAGTGCATTGCAGACCAGTTCCACAGGCTTCATCTGCAGAGGGTAGGCTGTCTTTTGGGCAAAGTGGTTGGCGTGGGTGGAGTAGGGAAGTTAATTAATTGACTTTGTGCTTATGACAGTTGGCTAAATGTTTTATCTCTTCTTTTTTCCAATGGGTATCCAGTGCTTGTTGTGTTGCTGTTGCTAATTGGATCAAAACTGAGTAACTGAGTTATATATACAGCCTAGTTATAGCCTAAATATGCTTCAAAACATATAGTTCATTACTTCTATGTATAAAGACAGTTTTCTGTGGTCAGTCACATTGCCGCATGATCTGTGATCAGCTGTACAGGTAGAAGAATTTTCTCCTTAATATTCTTCTCTGAGTTTTATGTACAAACTTTAAAAAGTTTGTTTTCCCCCTATTTTCATTGTCATGTATGTATATATGTATTTGCTTGCCCAACTCTAAAGTAGTTTTTGGATATGGAGAAGAGAGTGGGGGGCGAGGAGTCCCTCATCCATTGTTTTTCCTGACTGTCACCTTCCTCATTTTTAGCTTGAACTTAAAGAATTCACCTCTATTCTACTTACAACTCGAACATCTTATTCTGGTTCACGACACTATACACTGAAGGTTATGGTTGTCATTGAAAGGTTAGCAAACACCCACCCATCCTTATGTAAGGGTAACATTTCAGAACACTTCATATGCATTATTTTGTAACAGTTGTAGGGCAACCTGTAAGATAAATCAGCATTATTATACCGCAAATAGCCATGCAGTGATTGAGGCTGAGCATTGGTTGCCTAAGGCTACCTAGTGTGTTCATGGGAGAAGTGACCTTCAGCCAAGAGACTTCCCAGATTGTAGCCCAGTTCTTTAACCACTGTCCTACACTAGGTCTGCTCAGTGTACTTAGTAAGGCTAGCATGCTGTGCACAATACTGGAATCTTTCAGAAAGGAATTCCACTCCAACTTACTATTCAGGGGCATTTACTACTTTTTTGTATGAAGTTTTTTGCAAGAAAAAGCACCTGCAAAATCACCACGTGTTTGTTCGTTTGTTTAATTTTTATACTGCCCAATAGCCAAAGGGCTCTCTGGACAGTTAACCAAGTTAAAAAGAACATATAAACAAAAAAGAGCAAAAACAGCATACATAGCAATAAAACAATATAACCATAAAACCAATAAATCAGCTACGAAGTGTTGGAAGCTATGCCTTTATAATATCATAAACCAAAGGAAGAAACTTGAAGGTCTTGAATTTCTGACTTTGCTTTTTTTTCCCCTTGGGGAAGGAGACATGGAGACCTCTGGACATTAGATGATTTTTCTGTATTTTGATCCCTTTGCCCCTACTTCTCTGTAAGCTGCCCTCATGCTACTGGGGTGGGTCTTGCTCCAGCCCATCTGGAACATTCTCCAATAGATAGTCGGGTGCTGGAACATAAATAAAAATTCCCAGAATTCCTTGGGGGAGATCCAGGACTGTTCAAACCAGTTTGTTTTAACATATTCAGTATGATCCTCTTTAGGCTTGGGCAGTTTTCCACTACAGCTGCGAAGAATTACACACTGGAGCTTATCATTGCTGTGGGTTCTGCTTCTCTTCGAAAGAGCTGTGCATCTTGTATCACCAGGCCAAAGTTTTGGTCAGGGGGCAGAGAGTTCTGTAACTAAGCGTACCAAACTTTCTGAAAAAGAAACCAGGGCTTTTACACTGAAAAGGTATTTTTATTCATTTCAGCTGTCCAAATGGGTGTAAACCAAGGTTCAGAAGTTGTGTTGTCTCATTGTGGCTGTTTGGAGCTGAACTGGAGAGAGCAAGTCTGGTGTAGTGGATAGAGTATTGACCTGGAACTTGGGAGACCTGGGTTCAAGTTCCTGCTCAGCCAGAAAGCTCACTGGGTGACTCTGGGCTTGTCACAGACTCTCAGTCTAACCTACCTCACAGGGTTGTTGTAAAAATAAAATATAGAAGAGGGTTATGTAAGCTGACTTGGGTTCTGTGTAGGAAATAGGAGGCATGGAAATAAAAGAAATGCATATACAGGAGAGATAGTACAGGATGACTTCAGCAAACTATTGTGGGTTCATGTGAGTGGGCCTTTGCTAAGCACGTTTGTACGACATTGTATGTGTCCCCTGCCCCTCCTTCCTCAAGCCTTCCTTTCTACAGTTTTGAGGTGTGCTTGTACTTGAGCAAAATTTGGGAAAGGAGACATCTGAGGCAGACAAGTGCAATCTCTTTAATCTGTTGACTTCAGGAAGTAGGTTTAGATAAGGCAACTGGAGAAACAGGTTAAAGGTACAATTCTGTGCATGTTTAGGCAGTATGGCTGGCCGGAGCATGCTGGGAATTCTAGGCTTTTCTTCTTTCTAAGCATTCATAGTTCTGTGTACTCATCAGATTTCTCTGGTAGGATCCTAACTTGTTACTTTCTTCAAATGTGTGACATCCACCTGTTCCTTGGGGAGGGATTTCCCCCCAAACTGTTCCCTCTCCCCCGCCTGTTTGCCAGTATTTCTTCTTTCTTCTGGGGAGCACTCCTTCAATATCAGTCCCTAATGTCATTCCTAGTGTAGCTAACTTTGCTCAGTGTACTAAAGGTTAAAAAGGGGTTTGTTTTTGTTAGGCTTTTTTTTTTTCTTCCTGTCAGGAGCCCTGAAGGGAAGCTGTAGAACTGGTTGTAACTTGACCCTTTCCATCTGGGGAGTGTAGCTATCCAGTGTCTTTGTCTGGGAAATGTGTCCAAGAATGCCCCAGGGAAAAAAAGAGAAGAAAAGCTGTAACCAAAAGAAAGAGAGAGAAAAAAAAAAACGCAGGCCATACCCTCCCTTTTCTTTGGGAGAGAAGTATGTGTTGCCGTGGCACCAAGAGGAATGGCTGCAGAGCAAAGCAAAAGTAGTGCAGGAGAATTGTGTGTCAGCCAAGCATGTGGGACAGTTAGTAAACAAAAGCATCCCTCTTTACTACTAGCTTATGCAGCCAAGAGAGGAGGAGCGCTTTCTTTTTCAGCTGAAATAATAGAATGCTGTAAAGAGAGCTTGTTGACCATTTCTTTTCTCCCTCTTAAAAAAACGTGGACAAGAGAAGTAAAACCTTCTCTTGAGGTTGGAAATAACCAGTGGTTCTCCATCGCACAGTATTTGGGCAAATCTTAGCACAGATTAAGGGATTCTCGTCTAATAGGGAAATGGGGGTTCATTGTGTTTGCAAGGAGCTATGTTGACCATATGAAGTTTTCTTTATTGCTACTCTTGTCCAAATACCTTCTTTGCCTTCCTACCTTGTTCTGGGTCAATTTTTTCTTCTATGTGATGGCAAAGGTAACAGAAAACCGTCCAGTAATTTTTCCCTATAAGTTATTAGAGATAATTTCGATAGCCAGAGAGTCTATGACTTTGCTCATTTGGTAGCTTCAAAGAGATTTTACTAGAGTTAAAATTAAGACTACATTAAAGAAATTTTACTTGATTAGTCATGAGTTTTAATTGCTGATTGGCTAAATGTGCATAGAGATAACATTTTTTGAAGCAAGATGCGTACTTTGTTTATTTTTAGAATATGCATTTGCTCATACCATATAATGCACATGTGGCAGGCATCTTTTTAGAAAAGGCCCTCCTTCCTAGGTGAGTGAAAAGGCGGATGCTTTTTGTAAAATGTTGCTTGCTTGCTGTAGTTTTTATAAGTATTTGCATTAAAATACTGCTGATCATTTTGGACACAATTTTAGTTGAATGAATTTTAATCAAACTTCTTGTTTAAACATTGCAGCCCTAATTAAAACTGATATAAGGAGACAGCTCTCAGTTATAAGAACAATTGATTGATGAAATAAGTTGCAGAAGCAAGCATGGCATTTCTTTCCTGGAATTATTTTAAAAAGAATTACTGGATTACCATTTGTTTAGCATAAGTGTGTTAGATGTTTGTGCCATTATAACAACCTGGTTTAGAGGACCACTGAGGTCCCTTTCTGTTTCATGTATTGCAGGACTCTTCAAAAATATTGCTTCAGCAAGCCACCTGACTTGTTCAAATTAGCAGCATGAAGAAGGCATAATTCCACACTGTAAATGGCTTGTCATGCCATCCAAATATGAGCAGTATGGATTGATTGGAGAAGAAACAACTCTCAAATAACCAAACAATAGGCCATGGGTTAATTGAGGGTTGTTTCCTCTTCAACCAAGCATGCTGCCTAGGTACAGAACTCATGACAAACCACACATGGATCAGCAAATAGGCTAAAGGCACCTGGCACAGGCTGCCACTTTAAACAAGTTAACGCATTTTGATCTTGCAAATGGGGCCATACTGTGGTTGCAGAAAACTGTGATTGTACAGAGAAGTTTTCACAAATTTAAGTACAGTTGTACTAGTTTTCAAGTGTCCAATCTGTATAATGTGAGTGTTTCTTTTGTTCAGCAGCCTTGTGACTAAATTACGAATTTCCAGAGCCAATCCTTTCTTAAACCTACATTTCCATACAGCCATACAGCCAAGACAAGGTTTAGCACAGCCTTTCCAAACATGGTGCTCCCCAGATGTTTTGGACTACAGTTCTAATCATCCCAAACCATTTGCCACTAACTATGGACTGGTGCTGATGGTAACTGTAGCCCCAAACATATGGAGGGCTCCAGGTGGGGATAGTCAATTTAGTGTTATAAACATGAGTCTTTGTTAGCTCAAACAATTTGGGCTCATGTGCTTCCTCTTCTGTCCATGTGGCCGGGAAGATGAGTAAGCTACAATTCAGTTTCATTTTCCCTGACTTGTAAATATTCGTGAACTAGGAACTGGGGTTTAACATCAGCAAATTCAGAGACAGGTGGCTCTACAGATGTTTTAGTCTACAACTCCCATTATCCCTGACTATTGACCATATTGTCTTAGGTTCAAGGGAATTATAGCCCAAAACATCTGGGGTATACCAGATCACCTGCCTATAGTTACATAAACAAGCCAGGAAAACAACCCAGTATTTATTGTCCTGTTTAATGATTGACTAGAGGTTATATTAAGCCATTATTCCTGTCTCA